TAAAATTCTCATCAAGATCCTAGCAAGTCAGGCTCGGTGGCTCAGCCTATAATCCCGCGCCTTTGGGAGGTGAGGTGAGTGGATTGCCTGAGCCCGCGGCTTCGAGACCCACCTGGGCAGCGAGACCTCATCTCTACAGTAAATAAAAAAAAATCAGCCAGGCGTGGTAGCCATAGATTCTAAAATTCTCATCAAGATCCTAAAATCGGATTCAACAACACATCTCAAAAATCATCCATCATGATTAAATACATCAACAGATGTCAAAACAAGAACCACATGATTATATCATTAGATGCAGAAAAAGCTTTTGATAAAACCCAGCACCCCTTCTTGATAAAAACCCTCAAACATCTAGGCATACAGAGAACATACCTCAAAATAGTAAAAGCCATCTACGAGAAACCCACAGCCAGCATACTCCTAAATGGACAAAAATTGGAACCATTTCCCCTGAAAACTGGAACAAGACAAGGATGCTCACTCTCACCCCTCATGTTCAGTATAGTTTTGGAAGTCCTGGCTAGAGCAATCAGAGAAGAGAAGGCGATCAAGGGTATCCAGATAGGAAAAGAGGAAGTCAAGTTATCTCTCTTTGCAGATGACATGATTGAGTGCCTTGAAAACCCAGGAGAATCTGTCAAAAACCTCCTTACACTGATAAAGGCCTTTGGCAAAGTCTCAGGATATAAAATAAATGTGCAAAAGACAATTGCATTTCTTTACACAATAATAAACAAACAGAAACCCAAATAAAAAACACAATTCCATTCACAATAGCCACAAAAAAAATGAAATACCTTGTCATTTTCCTAACTAGAGACATGAAAGACCTTTACAATGAAAACTACAAAACTCTGCTCAAAGAAATCAAAGATGACACAAACAAATGGAAAAATATCCCATGCTCATGGGTTAGAAGAATCAACATTGTGAAGATGTCCATCTTACCTAAGGCAATCTACTGATTCAATGCAATACCCATCAAATTACCAGCAACATTCTTCTCAGACCTAGAAAAAATAGCACAGGAATTCATATGGAAACACAAACGACCAAGAATAGCCAGAACAATCCTCAGCAAATAAAAACAAAGCAGGCAGTATCACATTACCAGGCTTCAAACTTTACTATAAAGCTACAATCATCAAAACAGCTTGGTACTGGTATAGGAACAGGCATATAGATAAATGGAATAGAATTGAGATTCCAGAAGCGAAACCTCAATTTCTCAACCAACTCATCTTCGACAAAGCCTTCACCAACTACCACTGGGGAGAGGAGAACCTATTCAGTAAATGGTGCTGGGAAAACTGGCTGACCACATGCAGAAGATTGAAACAGGACCCCTATCTATCCCCATACACAAAAATTAACTCCAAATGGATCAGAGACCTAAATGTAAAACCTCAAACCATAAGAACCTTAGAAAATGAAGGATATACCCTCATGGAAATTTGAACTGGCATCCAATTCCTGAACAAAACCTGAAACCCACAGGCCATAAGAGATAAGATAGACAAGTGGGACCTCATTAAACTGACAAGCTTCTGCAAAGCCAAAGAAACCATCAAGAGAGCAGGGAGACAGCCTACAGACTGGGAAAAAGTATCTGCCAACTCCAGGTCTGACAAAGGCTTAACATCTTGGATCTACAAGGAACTCAAACGTGCTGAAAAGAAAAAAACAAACAACCCCATTATAAAATGGGCAAAAGATATGAACAAACACTTCACAAAGGAAGACATCCGAGCAGCCAACAGACACATGAAGAAATGCTCAATCTCACTAATCATCAGGGAGATGCAAATCAAAACCACACTGAGATACCACCTAACTCCAATCAGAATGGCAATTATCAATAACTCAAAAAATAACAGTTGCTGGAGAGGGTGTGGCGAAAAGGGAACACTTCTACACTGTTGGTGGGAGTATAAACTAGTGCAACCTCTGTGGAAAGCAGTGTGGCGATTCCTAAAAGCTCTGAATATCAACCTCCCATATGACCCTGCAATCCCCCTACTGGGAATATACCCTGAAGAACTCAAATCACTATAAAAAAGATACCTGCTCACGAATGTTTATCGCAACATTGTTCACAATAGCAAGAACCTGGAACCAACCATGCTGTCCATCAAAAGAGGATGGATTAAAAAAATGTGGTACATATATACAACAGAATACTATGCAGCCATAAAAAAGAACAAAATCATGAATTTCGCAGCCACCTGGATGGAACTAGAGTCTATAATACTGAGTGACCTCTCACAGAAACAAAGATCTGGGTATCACATGTTCTCACTCATATAGTGGACCTTGATCATCCAACGTATTACCATAAGAAAATGACTGACAGTTGTGGGAAACTATGGTGGGGGGAAGGGAGATGGGATTAATGATAGTAAACATCTGTCTGGGGACGGGGAGACACCTCTTATCAACAAGGGTGCCTGAACGAAGCATATTTGTATACCTAACCCTTAACTGTACCCCCATAATATCATAATAAAAAACATTGATTATTTAAAAAAAAAAAAAAGTTGGTGTGCTTGAGTCATGAGAACCAGTACAGGCATTATTATGGTTGTGTGTTGCTTTCAGCTAGATAGTCTTCCCTGAGTAAATAAAATTACAAAGCAGACTTGAGAACATATCTTCCTGACAACCAGTGCTTTTGGGGGAAGTTCTGGTATCTACCAGGATAATCCTGGATTCTGACTAGTTCTGGGGTCTACCAGGATAATCCTAGATCCTGACCAGAAGAAGTCTGATAGAAAGGTGGAGACTAGTTGGCCAGGCATGGTGGTTCACACCTATAATCCCAGCACTTTGGAAGGCCAAGGTGAGAGGATTGACTGAGTCCATGGGTTCAAGACCAGCCTGGGCAACTTGGTGAGACTTCATCTCTACCATAAATTAAAAAATTAGCTGGTTGTGGTGGTGCATGCCTGTAGTTCCAGCTACTTGAAAGGCTGAGGCAGAAGTATTACCTGAGTCCAGCAGGTTGAGGCTGTGGTGGCCGTGAGCATGCCACTGCACTCCAGCCTGGGCAACAGAGTGAGACTCCAACTCAAAAAAAAAAAATAAAGAAAGAAAGGTGGAGACTAGAGTTCCTGGTATCATTTAGGTAAACCATGTGCCTGACATGTAACACCAACAGTTTCTTTATTCATTAAATGAGGCATTTGACCAACCTTATTGCTGAAGGCCAGGCTAACTCAACCACTTGAAAAATCTAGATAGGCCAGGCTTGGTGACTCAGCCTGCAATTCCAGCACTTTGGGAAGGCAAGGCAAGTAGATTGCCTGAGTCCGTGGGCTCGAGACCAGCCCGGGCAACTTGGCGAGACCTCGTCTCTACAATAAATCAAAAATTAGCCAGGCATGGTAGTGCTCGTCTGTAGTTCCGGCTACTTGGAAGGCTGAGGCAGAAGGATCGCCAAAGCCCAGCAGGTCAAGGCTGGGGTGGCAGTGAGTGTGCCACTGCACTCCAGCCTAGGCAACAGAGTGAGACCCAACTCAAAAGAAAGAAAAAATCTAGATAAAAAATTCAACTGAGATTAGAGGCCATTTGCTTCCAAACCTGTGAGGAAACTTCACAGGGAAACATTATATCATATATTATTACCCATTTCCACCTGCTTGTATTCTCCACAACTTCCTTAGACACGCTTTCAGAAGTATTCCATAAAATCTCCCTCTCCTATTCCATTTGAATTTCATGCCTTGTTCCTCTTTGCCCTTCCTCTCCTTTTAAGCTGCAAATTGCTTCTGATAGAAAACCCTTCAGAGTTGACCTGTTATAGTATTACATATGGTACACTGCAAGGAGTGAACAGTGTCTAACCCATCAGAAGTAGCTGGCACCTCGCCACACCTCTTCATCTTTAGCTTTGCTAGCTTCGCATTTCCCAGGACCAGGTGTGTTAAGGAATAGAAGGAGCTCCCCAGTGACTAGTCCTAGATGTGCCCAATTCTTCTCATTGCCTGAAAACTGCTCAGAACACAGACCTAAAACTCAGTCAAGCCCTATCTGTGCCCTGCTCCTGCAATCTTTAGGCAGCCACTGCATAAAACTACCTAAGCATTGTAGCATTAGTGGGCTTTGGAACCTGGTATTTCACTGGGGGCAAGCTTTGTGAATCCAGGGAAGAAAACCTTGTTGGGGTAAATAGGTGGTGATAGATCTGAGTTTCTAAGAGGTGGAGATGCACTGGAGTCCCCATGTGGCCTCAGGGACCTGCCTGAGAACCTTCAGAAGCCTTCTCTAAGGGCAGGGATTAAAAAGTGGGTATTAGTTTCCTTATCACTACGTACCAAGCAGCTACTGGGGCCTGGGCTTGTACTGAAGGACGAGCTCCTTTTTCCCCATGAAGCCTCATGATCCTTGCTTATTTGGTGTGATGACAAGGGGGTGCTGAGGAGGAAGGGTTTTCTTTTCCCTCTGTGAAGCTTCCCAAGTTGTGGGGAGAAGAGTGCAGGAGCAGGCTGTGAGACCAACCATGTAGCTCTTTAAGATCTTATCTTGGTCTGCTTGTTGTGAATTGGGGTTACACATAGATGATGGTTGTGGTGATGCTAAGGATGATGATAGTGGCAGTGGTGGTGATGGTGGTGGTGATGGTGATAATGGTGATGGTGCTTCTTCCTGGACCAAATAAGTCTGGGAAATGCTGGGATATACAAAGCCAACCAGGTGAGTTCATTTGAGAATAAGATGCCTCTGAGCCTTTAATGACTTCCTAGGGGTTGGACAGAAATCCCTACTGTTTTGAGCACTGAAGCCTTTTTCTCATGCTATTGTATGAATGGATCTGGTTAACACCAGGCTGTTCCTGGAACAAAATGAAATGTACTCCTAGCAAATTTGGATAGTTTATTCTTATGTTGCCTTACTGGAAACCCAAAGATGGATTCCTGTCTTATCCCAATTTCCCTCATATACTGTGATGCTACACAGTTTGCAACAGTTTTTGATTGATACTGCCTTTCTCCCCACAGAACATTGACATCACCAATTTTAGCAGCAGCTGGAGTGATGGCTTGGCCTTCTGTGCTCTGCTCCATACCTACCTGCCTGCCCACATCCCGTACCAGGAGCTGAACAGTCAAGAGAAAGTAAGTTGTGGCCCCATCATCCTGTTTGTTCTCTAAGAATGCCAGGGAGAAAGGCAGGATATATCCCAGGGGAGGAGGGGTTTATAAGCCTGAAGTGGAAGTTAGAATATTAACACTAGGCCCAGATGATTACCAAATGTGTGACTACACTGTGGAATCCCATTCTCAGCAAATACTTCTCAGTTTCCCTTCTAGATATTTACCTTCTGTCACCTAGAAAAACTCAGTGAGGACCAGTTTGCTGTGGCCACTAAGAAGTTCCTTTGACCGCTTTCCAGAGAAGGCCCTGAAGGAGTCTCACCTTCATGGTTTTAAGACCTTGGCCAATATTTTTCAGAGTCTATCCTAAAGAACCACCAAGTACCACCAAAAAGAATTCCCTGTTCAAATAAGCTTGGAAAACTGTATATTATATCACACTTTTAGAAAACACAGTGCATATTAGCACATAAAAACTTCAAGAAGTCCTGCATTAAAGAAAACTGTGTGACTTTCCTTAACTCAGCGAAGAGCAGATGATATAATCTTTTTATTTGCTTATTTTACTGTAACAACCTATAACAACCTAGCAACTTTTTCCAGTTAAGGGCCGAGCAATAGGCTTTGTGGGTCAATCGGTCTCTGTCACAACTACTCAACTCTACCATTGGAGTAAAGCCGCCACTGACAATATGTAAATGAAAGGGCATGGCTGTGCTCCAGTAAAACTTTATTTACATAACAAGCCATGAGTCAGATTTATCCCATGGGCAGTAGCTTGCCAACCCCTGACCAAGAACGTTTTATGAAATATCTCACAGAGTGCACCTTGGCAAACACTATGCTGGGTCCTACACTCGGTCACTCAACAAGAATTTTTACCAAACATCATGTGCAGTAATAAAGACAATAGTGAACAATAGAGAAATGTTCTCCTCCCTTATGAGGTAGACAGGTTATAAACAAGTGGGTAAACTCATAACAAGTAAAATTATAAATAATCAGTTAGGAGTTATGAAAGACCCAAGAGAGAAACACAGTGCTGTGAGAGTGAATAACAGGGATCTCATTTAGATCAGGGAGACTAAGGCAGTCTTTCTGAGGAGGTGATTTTTAAGCTGGTGTCTGAAGGTGAAGGAGGAGGCAGCAATGCAGAGCCAGGAGGAGCTTTTCAACACAAGGGAGCAGCCGCAGCCAGGGAGCACCTTGGTGTTGTCGGGAGCATGGAAGAAGGCCAGTTGGCTAGGTTCAGTAAGTAAGGCAGGAGAACTCCGCTAAGCCAGGGAGACAGGCAGAGGCCACCACTCTTCATGGATTGGCTCTGGTAAGAAGTTTGCGTGTGCTCCAAGCATCATGGGAAGCCACTGAAGGATTCTAAACAATGGAGAGGCACAATTCATGTTTTTAAAAGGTTTTCCCGGCTGTTGTGTGAAAAATGAATTGAAAGGGGAACAAGAATGAAAGAGGAGCCACCAGTTAGGACATTATTGCAGTAGTCAATGTGAGAGACGTTTCCTTGGCTTCACCCACTAACTGAGATGAGAAAGGTAGCAAGGCAGAGGGAAAGATGTAGAAAGAGGCTGGGCACGGTGGCTCATGTCTATAATCCCAGCACTTTGGGAGGCAGAGGCGAGAGGATTGCCTGAGCTCAGGGGCTCCAGACCAGCCTGAGCAACATGGCGAGACCTCATCTCTACAATAAATTAAAAAACCAGCCGGGTGTAGTAGCACATGCCCGTGGTTTCAACTACCTAGAAGGCTGAGGCAGAAGGATTGCCTGAGCCACCAGGTCGAGGCTGTAGTGGCCTTGAGCATTCCAGCCTGGGCAACAGAGTAAAACTCCAAATCAAAAAAAAGAAGATGTAGAAAGATTTGAAATATGTCTTTTACATAGAATCGCTTGGACTTAGTGACAGATGACTGTAGGGTAGGAGGAGGAGAAGAAGGAAACAAAGATGACTCCCAGGTGTCTAGGTTGACAGGGCTATTTTCTGAGATGGAGAGGGCATAGATATGTTTCACAGTTCTGTTTCTATTATCCCTGGACAAAATGATTTAATTTTTTAAGGTGTTAGGATTCTTCAGAGGAGCAGAACCAGTAAGGGTGTGTGTGTGTGTGCTGTGTGTGTGTATGTGTGTGTCTGGATACCATGCCTATCCAAGTTGACACATAAAATAACCATCACAAGTGTACTAAAATCTTCAAGCACTTTTATATGGAGTGCTTTGTTTTTAATCTGTGAAGTAGGCTGGACAGGATTGTTAAAAGTTTTGAGGGGAAAAAAGTTGTGTTTCAAATCATGTTAAGTCTAAGAGTCTATGAAATATGCAAGTGACCGTGTCAGGCAGGTGATTGAATAGCAAATCTAGAGTTGGGTTGGGAAATCAGAGCTGGAAATATCAGTCTGAGAGTCATCCAGGATAGATCAGTGGTGTCTGGTGGAAGTTTCTAAGACAGTGGAAACATTCTCTGTCTGCACTATCCATATGGCAGCTACCAACCCCATGGGCTGTTGGGCACTTGAAACATGGCTGGTGTGACTTAGAACCGAGTTTTTAATTTCAATTTTAATTAATTTTAATTCAAATACCCGCATGTCACAAGTGGCTCCCATGTCAGACAGGGCGGGCACAGATGATACTTAAAGCTCAGTGGAAGACTGCACCCAGGCTCCTGAGGGAAGTGTGAAGAGGGAAGGACCAAGGAACACACCTGATCACCCCAGTGTCTGTTGTCTAGGTCAAGGAGGAGGTCTCAGAAAAGGGACCAGGAAGAAGCAGCCAGAGAAATGGCACTGTGTCCTGTGGCCAAGGGCCACAGCCAGCCTCATAGATCACAAATGCAAACTAGGTGTCCATTCCCTCCCTGCCCTCTTGATGCTTTAGTCTCTGCATTTTCAGTGTTTGTCCCAGAGCCTAGGATTCTGTTTGTTAGTTACTGCCAACCCACCGCTCCCTGAGGGAACCTCTGACCCCCTATTTCCTAAATGCCCTGCCCTGGCTATACTCCTGGTGGAGCAACAGTTGCTGCAGCAACTTCTCAGTGTGTGGCTTGCCCTGGGGGATGCTTGCATTCTGTTGGGTGAGAGGGGTAGTATCTGTTACAGTTATGGATGAACGAATATAAAGTAACTGAGCAAATAATGGGCATTAAACAATTCAAAATAAGACCTTCCTAAAACAGTGCTGTGTACTCTCATGCACGTACACACTCATGTCCTGAGAATGTGTGTGTCATGCTCCCTGTGGTCGTCCAAACAGACTGGCTTCTTTCATTGTGCTTGAATCAGCACAGATCTGCTGGAAAGTAATAGGCCTGTAAGTGTTTGCCTTCACGCTTCGAATCAGCATTGCTTCCTGGTGACCAGAGCCTCTTTGTCTTACTCTGGATCCCCATGATTCCTGAGACTGATACTCCGCCAGGAGCCACCCACAGCTACGACAGTGTGTGGTGGGACATGCAGACACTATATGGCAAGGCCCGTTTCCACACATAGGGTTGAGTTTCTTTTCCCAGGTCTGTCACACTGCCATTAGCGAGCATGTAAGTCTGTGTGAAAGACTGCAGATCTGTGAATATCTGGAATTTTTCATTTTAAGATCTATTTGGCTTCATGCTAGTTCGAGCTGGGTTTGTGATCCAGAGAGTAGGACTCTGTTTGCTAGTTACAGCCAACCCACTCCTCTCTGAGGGAACCTCTGACCTCCTGTTTCCTAAATGCCCTGCCCTGGCTATATTCCTGGTAGAGTAACAGTGGCTACAGCAACTTGTCAGTGTGTGGCTTGCCCTGGGGGTGCTTGCATTCTGTTTGGTGAGAGGGGCCATATCTATTACAGTTATGGATGAGTATTTTCAAAATAATGTGTCAACACAGGCAAACCTATATAGAGAAAACTGAACACGTGTGAAAGTCAGTATGGAGAGAATCTTAATGGAGCAGAGTAAGGGATACAAGCAGGGGAGACTTTCCTAAAAGAAGCATATTTGAAGTTGGGTCAAAGGGGGTGAGCTAATCTGAATGAAGTGTACACCTTGAACCTCACTAGCATCAGTGGAGCATCACCCTGGGGCCTTGTTCTGATAAGTGCTCAGTGCTGGGGCTTTTTTCCAGGGTTTTTGTCTTGTGTTGTTTTCTAGTGTATACGTACATCAAAAAGGGCACCATAAGAGGTCTTTAATGTTTGTAAAATCTAGTAAAATCAAAGTCTAAAAGGTGTATAATATAGCTGTTGATAGTGTAGAAAGTTCAGAAATCATGAGCTGCTCCCAGCTAGATGGAAATAATTGAACCAAGTAAGTTCAACATCGGTATTAAACAGAGAATTTCTGATAAAAACGAACGGGGATATCTTCTATGACATTAAGGAGATATACAACCACAGGGTGTGAGTTACACAGTAAAGGGAAGGTTTTGGCAGGGTTTTTTTTTTTTCCCCAATGAAAAGATAAGGCAGTCATCTAGCAGCCTATGAAACTCTTCCACTTAGCCCAGACAGATTCAGGTGACATATTCAGATGAATGTGTCTATATCAGTGTCTGAAATAAAATATAATGTGAGAGAAGGGACTCGGGAATTGGCATCCTTTGCCCCATTCGTTTCAGGTGAGATGCCTTACTAGCACAATCCTCACTATCCCAGCTAGCAATAGAGTTCTGCCATGCGTTGGGCACTTAGTCTGTCCTGGAACCAGACAGAAGGTCCCAGGCTTGCACCTTCTGCTCCTGATCGGGGCAGAGACTAAAGCAGTGACGACCTCTCACCGGGCTTGGCTTGTGTGGGGCCAGCTACAGCTGAAGCTCACAGTCCACAAGTGAAGACCCCTCTGAACTGCTGCTCATGACTGTGGCTTCTGGCATCCATCTGACCTCTCTGACCACAGTGGTGGTAACTGTTCAAATGAAAGACCATTAGGATAATGATACTTGGCCACTGATGTTCTGCTGTTGCCGAAATGAATAAAAATTATTATTGTAATCCAAAAGTCACCTTCTCTCTACAATGTTCCATGTTACATTGTA